TGATGGCTCGATGGAGGAGACGGCCAAGACTGGAGGAGGGCAAGCGACGCCTCAAAGTAGCATTGGCCGGGGTCAGAATCTGAACCCACGCCAGCCCCACTCAACAGCTGGTGCTCTCTCCCCCACCTTAAACCACCAGCTCCCTCCGGACCTCTCATTCTGGGGCTATGTCTGGTCTCTCCAATATGGTAAAATAAATACATTGTTAATTCATCAAGAAACAGAGTGTGTGAGACGTGGGAGTTACTCAGTAAAGAAATATGAAGTGGAGGAGAGCACTGAGCTGTTATCAGCCCCTTTCCTGCTCACAGGCACAGGGAAGAGGGGGGAGCCTCCAAGGCCAGGACCCCCTGAGGACACTTCCTGGGCATGACTGCAGGCTCTTCACTGTTCCCTGACCTTGGAGGGCCCTGAAGAACTCGGGTTTCAGGTGCTTTAATGTCTCCTGCCAGTGTTTCCCCAGAACTCAGACTTCGGTTTCCTTTTGCCTTCAGCGCACGTAGTGATGCCGGCAAACCCAGCTCCTTCAGGAGGCAGTCCGAAGCAGACAGCCTGGACAGGATGTAGGAAAGACGGTTTAAACAGCTTAAGAGATGAACCATTTTAAGTCATGAATACTGCAGGAACAGCTTGGAGGCACTGAGGACCGCAGATGGCTGGAAAATGCATTTGGATGCAGGAGAACTTTGGTTTTAATTTCAGATGTGTTTATTGAGGCCATATATATATATATATATATATATATATATATATATATGTAAGAAAATACATATATATTTTTTTTCTTCCTATAAAATTGAGAAAATGAAAATAAGACTCCTCTAGGGGTATATTATAGCATGACCTAACATTTCAAAAATGATTTTTAGATTCAAGGATTTGGGGGAAATAGAGACCATGGTTGTTTTGTTAACCAAATTCCAGCCGAGTTAGAAACCACATGTACACAGCAAATGAAGAAGTGGCTTAATGACTAACTGATGGTGCTAACATCTCCTCCATTCATCACCAAACCCACACCGGTCCTTCTCACAGGGCCTATTATGAAAATCGCTAAAACTGTCCTTTTTTTCTTCTTATGGCAGGATAAGAGAAGCTGATTCTCTCCCTTGGAACTGCTTTCTCTGACTAACTCCTGACTTCTAGCCCCTAAGTAAGGCACACAGACATGACTTTCACTTGGGACGTGCCCATCCCCGTGGACAAGCAGACAGGCCATTTGTCTAGACACATGCGCTAAGCCTTCCCATTATAGGAGAAGCATCTCCATCCTTCCAGTAGCTCCAGCCAAAGACCATGAGGTTGACACCTTCGTTCTCTGATGTCCAACCTACCATCTATTGGAACATCTGTTAGCTTCAAAACATATCCAGTATCAAACTCTTTCAAACTCTTCCTTAATTTATTACCACCACCCCCCACCAACACAAACACCCATTTCACACAAAGGAAAAGCCAAAGTCATCACAATTTTCTCTAAGACTCTATCAGGCTTTTTCTGTCTGACCTCACTTACTCCTCTCCAGCCCCCTGGCCTCCTGCTCATTCCCTATGCACATGGGGCAACTCGTACCTTAGGACCTTGTCGCTGACTACTTCTGCCTCCTTCAGGGCTTTGCTGAAGCATTACCATGAGGTCCGTGTGGCCACTCTACTTAAATCCAGGCTCTGAGGTCCCCATCCTCCTCCCAATCCCTTACCGGCAATACGTTTTCCTAGGTCTTGTCTTAGGCTATTTGCTGCCTATCATACCCACCAGGATGTAAGCTCCATGACAGCGAGGGTATTTTTTCTGATTTGTTCACCGAATGAAGGCCTAAAACAGAGTCTAGGCACATGGTGGGTGTTGAATAAATATCTATGGCATGAGTGAATGAACACCACACACACACACACACACAAATCTTACATTTGAATCTCATTAGAGAAATAATCACCTCAAGATTCTTACTAGGATGAGCTGACCCTCCAAACGCAGCCAAAGTCACTCTTCCCTGTAACCCCAATTTTAGTCATTGCAGAAACAACCCCAGATATCTGAAATGAAACTAAAAGATAGTGTAATAATTCCATTTCTGCCTCTTAAGTACCCAGCTCACCACACTCTGACAACTCTCCTAGGTTTGCCAGGAGCCATGGGCCCCCTTTGAGGGTCAGGCAGCTGTCCTGAACCTCGGGACAGGTGTATTTGGTCACCGATTCCCGTTGGCCTCAGCAACCATGGACTGACATTAATTCTCAGGAATTTCACTGCATTACCAACCTTTTTTGTTGCAATTTCTTCCCACAAGTCTGTCCAGTATTTAAACTGTGTCTGAATCTCGACTCCAGCGAGACTGAGTTTCTTAAGTCTCTCTCTGTCTCAGTGTCCTCACCTGTAAAACGAAGATGATGATAATACTAGTGCCCACCTCACAGACTCATGGCGAGGAAGGATGGCGTGAATGGAAACAGAGGGCTTGGAACAGTGCGGGGCAGAGTAAACGTCAGCCATTGTTATCAGCCTTGTTGTTATCACTAGGCACACAAAACACGTATCCTTTTGGTTTCTTATTTCCAGCAGCTAGTACAGTGCCTGGGAAGTACTTAGGAAAAGTCTGCTGGATAGATGAGTGAACGAATGAATGAATGAATGAATGAGTCAATGAGCTAACTCAGTGCAGAGGCAATACGTTCTCATCTCCGTTTAGCACAAATCTAGCACCTAATAATTCTCAGGAACAACTTGTTGAATTTTGAGCGAATGGCATACAGCAAGATTTCTGCACACATTCTGCATAGTACAGACAATTTTGGAAAAGCGTAAAATAAACCATACTACGGATAGCTTGGAGGAAAGTGGGGTGGCGCTTACGTTCTAGGAGATGAATAGACAAGGTCTGTGACTTTGGGCAAATTTTTTTTTTTTTTAATAAGAAGATACACTGGTGTTTATTTTTTATTTTTATTTTTTGATTTACCGAGTTTTTTTTTTATAATTTTATTTTTTATAAACATATATATATATATTTTTTTTTCCCCCAGGGGTACAGGTCTGTGAATCTCCACGTTTACAAATTTCACAGCACTCACCATAGCACATACCCTACCCAATGTCCATAACCCCCCCCAACCCCCCTCCCCCCAGCAACCCTCAGTTTGTTTTGTGAGATTAAGAGTCACTTATGGTTTGTCTCCCTCCCAATCCCAACTTGTTTCATTTACTCTTCTCCTACCACATTAACGACTTTGGGCAAATTTTTAAAACTTTTCTGGGTCTCAGGGCTCTCCTCTACCAACCAGGGCTGAAGAGTCACTGGGAGCTAGGAGGACTACACCAGACAGTGCCTGCAAAATGCACGATTCAGGGCCTGGCCCCTGGATTACCTCGTCCAACAACCATTGACTTTAAAACCACGTGGACAGAATGGCTGACACATGCACACCTGCACGGAAGGCCCCAGGGCTCCTAGAGAAGGCAGGTGTCCAGCTTTACAGAAGAAGAGCTAAGTCTCCAGGGACCCATCTTCCTAGCCGCATGTCTTTTCATGTTTGTGTGCATAGACACCTTCACCAAAGGTGTCTTTTTTCTTGTCCCCTCCTGCCTATGACCCCGGGAACGACCTAGATTAAGTTCCCGCTTCTCTGACCAGAACTTCTTCATTTGTCATGTGCGAGGCATTTCTCCAAACCTTTTAAAACAAGTCCAGACACGTCTTATCCTTTTAGGAGACTTGAGAACGAAAACTGGGCATTTTTTCCCTCTCCCCACTTCCTCCCCTGGACCCTTGCCAAATTTACGCAAGCGAGCAGCTGGGCGACAGGAGGCTCAGTACACGATGGTTCCAGCTCTTAATCGGGGATGGCACACATCTTCACACTGGTCCCGTGCAGCTGAACTTTAGCCCTAGTTGGTTTAAATCCAGCAAACAGTCTCGATTTGTTATAATTTATCATTCCGGACTGCGCTGTGAGGTTTGTGTCATTACTCTTCCTTTTTAATGTCATATATTTTGAACTGATTGACTTCTCCAAAAACTTACGGTTATTATTTAAGAGAAAAGAACTGAGAGAAAGTCTTCTTGCACTTGGATGAGAGGAGGCAGGGAAGGAACTGTCCACACCTTTGGTGTTCTATCTGAATGGGGTATTGGGAGGGGGGTGGAGGCAACAGCTTCCTTCTTTGTCTTTCAAAAAAGTAAAATTTAGGAGGGCCTGGGTGGGTCAGTTGTTAAGCATCTGCGTTCAGCTCAGGTCATGATCCCGGGGTCCTGGGATCGAGCCCCGCATCCAGCTCCCCTCTCCCACTTCCGTCGGATTGTGTTCCTTCTCTCCCTATCTCTTTCTCTGTCAAATAAATAAATAAAATCTTAAAAACAAAAAAGCCCCTGAAATTTATTTATATTACAATTTCAGGGAGTCAGAGGAATACCAAACCAAGCAACAAATTTGTTCTCCTCGCATAAACTTTGAAAAGCAAGATTAAACATTCTCAAGCTTAAAATCGGGAGGAGGAAAATCATGAAAACAAAAGCACAGAATGACAGAAGGAACAATTCCCACTATTTTTAAAATGTCCCCATATTTCCCCCATTTCATCCTATAAATGAAAACGCCTTCGAAGGAAAATACCTACTACAGCATAGTGTTCCTCATGGAGCCTGCTTACTCTTCAGTACCTTCTTTTTGATTATAATCAATGAATTAAGGGTCCGTACCAGGAGTTTTAGTGATGTATGTGCCATACACTTGTTCATATGTATGTATGTATGTACAGATGTGTGTGTGTGTGTGTGTGTGTGTGTGCGTGCGCACATAAATGTGGTGACTAACTCTTTAAGAATCAGCTTAAAAATACTATTTGGAGCATGAGCTGTTGGAGATGGCAGTAGGAAAATAGCAGGGACTCCTTCCGTCTTGTTTCCTACCAAATCTCAACACCAAGAAGTATACTCAGTCAATGTTTGTTGACTCTATGAAGACAGGAGATGATACGCTGAAGAAACTTACACATTTAAACATGGCAGTAGTACATACAACACTGGAGGAAAGAAATTCGAGCAACCAGATGGAGACATCTGCAGTGATTCATGACATTCCGACGTTGACATTCTGTGGTAGTTGTTGACATTTTAACATCCATACCAATTTTGTTTTTACCCCTGAAAACAAAACATTAAACTTTCAACTTCTTTTTATTACCATGCAATCTGTGCCCTCAGCCCATCCCTCCTCCTCCCCAACAATTAGCCTTACCTCGTCCCTCATCCACAACCATCCTTGACTCCTACCTCATCCCTCCATAGACCTCCCCGTATCCTTTACCAGGGGCCCCCAAATCAAAATATCCCTGGTGTCCAAACAGTGCACAATATCAAACAGTATTCTAGTGGAACTTGGACCCATGGGGTACAAATGGCCTGACCAAGGGTGCTAGAAGTACACATATCAGGAGAGGCAGAGTGAGAGGAAATGGGAAGGAACAATGCGTAGGATTTGGCAACAGAGTTGATACAGCAGAAGGGACACAGAGAGTGGCCAAAGAGGACTCTCTAGTCAGCACGTGATGAGAAGAACGAAGACATTGGGGAAGTGGGGGCCAGAAGAGGGTGTGAGAACAGTTGAGGAGGAGAGGGTTTGGACTGGGGCATGCCAAGGTCAGTAGCAATGTCAAAGTCCTAAGTAGCTTTACATGGTTGCTGATTACAGTTGGCATCGATGGTCCAAGATGCATGGGAACAGTACATTTTGGGGTCACGTTCTAGCAGGGCTGAAGAACAGAAGGAGTCCCTGAGAAGGACATCCCCAGACAAGGGCTGTGTAGAGGCTGCAGGGGCTACACTCTGGTGTGTGGCCACCACACAGGAGGCCACACTCTACCACTCACTTGTTTCTGAGGCCCTGGAGGTGAAGGATGAGGCAGATCCCCAAGCCATTTCTGGCTGAGGGAGTCGTCAAGGAAGCAACTGCTCATTATTCTTCTACACCTCACTTTATTCAAATGAAGAACTCCTTAGAATTCTTCCCCTGAGAGAAAGTTCTCTCCCCTGAGAGAGAACAGGGCTGTGATTTAGAAACCCAAAGACAAGTTTGCTATGGCTGCCATAAGCAACAGAAATTTGGGCGATGTGAGCAACAGAAATTTATTTTCTCACAATTCTGGATGTGAGAAGTCTGGGATCAAGATTGGTTCCTTCTGAGGGCTATGAAGGAGGGATGTGTTCCAGGCCTCTCTCCTTGACTTAGAGATGTCTGTCTTCATATTCACAGGTTGTTCTCCCTGTATCTTCACATTGTCTTTCCTCGGTATGTATCTCTGTGTCCAAACTTCCCCTTTTTATAAGGACACCAGTCATATGAGTTTAGCACCCACCGTAATGACTTCACTTGAACTTGACTGCCTCTGTACAGACCCTGTCTCCAAACACAGCCCCATTCTGAGGTACTGGGGATGAAGATTTCAACATATGAATTTGAGGGGACCCAGTTCAATCCATCACAGCGAGTCAGAGGGAAAGGACAAGTGCATGAGGAAGTACACATTCTAGGAGAGCTCCATCTAAGTGTGCAGGGTTGGCAGTCATCAGCTTGGCCTCAGACCTTTGGAAATCCCCTGCATCTGGTCTTCCCAATTCTCGTAATCTCATCCCACCAAAAAAGACATCTAAATACATTCCATGCATTTCTGGTGAGAAGCTCAGTCTGCTGCCCTCCATGCAGTATGCTAGTGAGGTTTTAACTAGAGTGGTTTAAATGGTTTGCGTAAACTAGAGCCTCTGAGGCATTTCACCCTTTCCTTAGGCCTAAACAAATCTTTTCCAGGTATTCAAGACTTTGTACAATATTAGACCTCCTGAAGTTCTATCTCTTAGTGACGAATCACTATGATGATGAAAATGGTTGGTGACCTTTCCCCTTCGTGTCATTGCAGGGAAACCCGATGTCGTGTTCTTCCAGACTGGTTATATGGATACTGCTAGGGGAAGCAAAAGGGTTTACACTCACGACACGTAAGTGTGGGCTCAGGCAGAGTTCCTGGCAGAGCCCTAACCATGTACCAGGTGCTGTGCTAAGCCCAAGGGTTCACCTGGGAGCAGGGCAGGCTTCCGGGAGGGCGAAGAATTCTCCCATTCCCGCAGGCAGATGGGATTTACAAGTGGAAGGGCAGAGAAGCTCAGAGACCAGGGGACTCATGCTGTTGTTGTCAGACACAATCTTTGCTTACGGGTTGTGCCAACATTTTGATTGATGGGTTCCCCCATTATATGCGTTGCTAAGTATTTTTATACTACCCTTGCCTATGAGCCGTACTGTTGGAGGGAAACTGAGAAGGGGTGAAGGCAGCAAACAGTGCAAGCTAAAGAAACGGGCTTTAGGTGGTTATAGTTTAGAGAATTAGCTTGAGGAAAATGAGCCAGGATTTGTGTGGCAATTCTCAACCATCTTAGTATCGGGACTCTTTTCCACTCTTTTCCACTTGAGGACCAAAAATAAATAAATAAATAATTTTAAAAGATTACTGAGGACCTTAAAGAGTTTCTATTTATATAGTTTAAATCTATTAATAGTGACTGTGCTAGTAATTAAAATGGAAATTTTTGTGACATATGTTCATTCCTTTAATAAAATTAACTATCCATTACATGTTAACATAACTTATTTCTCATGAAAATTAATTATATTTTCTTCCTCAAAAACATAGTGAGAAGACTGTCATTGGGTTATATTTCTGGACATTTATTTAATGTCTGGCCTCAGAGAAGGCAGCTAGAATCTCATGTCTTTTCTGCATTCAATCTGTTAGTTGTCTGTTTCAGCTGAAGTACAGGATGGAAATCCAGCCTTACACAGATATGTAATTGGGAAAGGCAGGAGTTTCTGGGTTTCCTGAAAAGAACTCAGGACTCCCTAGGGGTCCTCTGATCACACTTTGAAAACCACACTAGATTACGTTAGTGGTTTTATTATCTTATTACCTCCTGATCAGAACTCTTCTAACGATACTGTTACAAGGAGACTCAAATGTCAGCATTTTAATCCATAATATAAGAAAAATTTAAAAATTTGTCTGTGTGTACATACCTACGTCTCAACTCTTTTACCTCTACATTTGAGAAGTCAGCTTTGTGCTAAAACTATCTTTTAGTTTGTTTGAAGTAAGAAGGTTAGCTAAAAAAAAAATTAGAAACAAATAGAGTTACTCAACACCTATATTCAATTATCATAGTTTTTTAAAATGCCTCCAACTCTGAAGACCCAAAAACTCTTAACTATGCACTTACAAATGATATTAAAATATGTATCATAAGCCATAGGCAATAGGGAGTATTTTGTGAAATTTGTTTTGCCTTTTTCTTTTTCTTTTTCTTTTTTTTTTTTGGTCTTTCGAGGAACTGTGTCATATGAATCATGGTGATGACCATTGTCAATGCAAAATGAGATAAGGGAAACTGGTTCATTGCCCAACTGTTTCAAGCCCAACCCTGATTAGCAAATTGTGGCTCTTAAGGCTGACCGAGGGAGTCTGAGCCTCATGAGACTGAATGGAGTCACAGGAGACTGACCCTTGCAAAACTTAGCTGAGGTACAGACAGTATCACCTTAAAAGCAGCCCCTAGTTGTTTTTCTAAGCCAGTGGTTTGCAGAATATCATGTGCTATATATAATATGGTTAACAAGGATGACTGAGTTTGAAGAGGGCAGTCCAAGATGCCAAAAAGGCTAAAGAAGCTCACCATGAAGTTAAGTCTTAGGACCCGTAATTCTAGCCAAAGGAGGGAAGAAGAAGAAGGAGAAAGAGGAGTGCAGCCTCATCCCCTTATTGAAAACAGGGCTGTCCCTAAATGGTACTTACCTTGAAAGGCCCCCTTCCACAAATTTTTTGCACCCTCTACCACACTGGAAAGCCCCTCTCCCTGAATGCACAGTGTTTCCCCCTGTTCTTGCCCTATGTCACTTGGGTCCATAATTTCCCCAATAGCCATCCTTCTCTTTAGCCTCACTATCTAAACTCCGGTACCTCACCTGGGTGTCCCAACAAAGTCTGTTTTAGGCACATTCAGCCTTCAAGCTTCAAGTTCAAATTCACATACACATTTCCTGCCTTGTCCCTGTTTTGTGAGCTTAGACCTGGGGTAAAACCAGTGTCCCTGAGGACCTACCTCTTTGCCAAGGCAATCTGCATCTTTAGAAGTAGGCTTAATTGGTGATCCTTCCGTAGTGTCACAAAGAGAACTCAAAACCCTCAGATGCTGTGAGAGGAAATGCTGGGCACCAGGGAGAGGTTATAAGGACATCTCACACTCCCACCCCCAAAGCTACTTTAAGTTACTCTTGTCAGGGGAGAAGCGTCATGCCCCAGGGAACTCAACTTTGGGTCTCTGATTTTGTGTGAAGAAAAGTGCGTAAGATGTTTTTTCTAGATTTATTTGCAGAAAAAAACAATTGTGCTCTTCCAGCTTCAAATTAGGATTTTATTAAATGATGGCCTATAATATCAGACATTGTTACCTACTGCAGGTCTGCTGATGGGGTCCAGAGAAAAGGCCAGAGGCCTCAGTGGGGTGTCGCCAACTGAGGGTCAATCTGTGTGTTTTTTCAACTACCATAAAATGACAGTATGCTTTTGCACTTGCTGGGAAAAGGATACCTTCCTTTTTGCCTCATTGCAAATCACTGAATTCATGGTAGCATTGGACAGGCTGAAACTTTCTAACACCACACTTTCCCTTCCTTTGTGGTATGATTTTCTTGGTAATGATTCCATTCTATAGTTTTCTATAGAAAACTGGGTTAACATTTCTCCCGGATGTTCTGTAGCAATCCAAAATAAAGTGTGAGTCTCCACTAAATCATAATAGGGGTGGTATTGATCCTTGTCTTGACTGCATCCGTCAGGAGACTGATGTCCAGACAGACTCCATTTGGAGCAGAACTGCTGTCTGGGTTTTCTGGAACGAGAGATTGATTTGGACTCATGCAAGGTTTTCCAACACCAGCTAGACACTGGTGAGGGTCTCATGTGCCAGTCAGAGGCTGCAGGGGATATTCATTCTCAATCTTAGTGTCCCATGAAGGAGGTTTGGCAAACACAAAGGAGAGAGTACTCTATTTACTTTAAAAAAAAAAAAAAAAAAAGATTTTACTTACTTGTTAGAGAGGG